TTAGGGCGGCGGGGTAGCGCCGACGACACTCTACCAAAATCAACCCTCTGCGGGGATTGGCGGTCGACGTGCAAAAACTCGAGGTTTTTTGTGATTTTGTTCTGGCTCGCGCGACCCTCTGCAGGGATCGGCGTGGTCGAGGTGCAAAAACTCGAGGTTTTTTGCGAGTTTGTTTTGGCTCGCGCGACCCTCTGCGGGGATCGGCGTGGTCGAGGTGCAAAACCTCGAGGTTTTTTGTTATGTTTTGGCTCGCGCGACCCTCTGCGGGGATCGGCGTGGTCGAGGCGCAAAAACTCGAGGTTTTTTGTCGAGGTGCAAAAACTCGTGTTTTTTTTTTGCGACTTTTTTTGTTCGAACTGGTCCTCGGGAGTTGTCTCGTGGTTCGCGCGCCTGCTCCCGGGACTGGTGGGTCGCGGGTTCGATTCCCCCCTGGTCCGCGGGCGGGCTTCGCAAGCTGCACGGAGCAACTTGCATAGAGCAACTTGAGCAGAGCAACTTGAGCAGAGAAAGTTGCACAGACCATTTTGCGCAGAGCAACTTGCGCAGAGCAACTTGCACAGACCAGTTTGCGCAAAGCACCTTGCCCAGAGCAACTTGCGCAGAGCAACTTACGCAGAGCAACTTGCGCAGAGCAACTTGCACAGAGCAACTTGCACAGAACAACTTGCACAGAGCAACTTGTACAGAGACATTTGCACAGAGTCAGTTTCACAGAGCTGCTTGCACAGAGCAACTTGCACAAAGCAACTTGCGGAGAGCAACTTGCACAGAGCAACTTGCACAGAGCAGCTTGCACAGAACAATTTGCGCAGAGCAACTTTGACAGAGCAACTTGCGCAGAGCAACTTGCGCATAGCAACTTGCACAGACCAGTTTGCGCAGAGCACCTTGCGCAGAGCAACTTGAGCAGAGCAACTTACGCAGAGCAACTTGCAGGGAGCAATTTGCACGGAGCAACTTGCGCAGAGCAACTTGCACAGAGCAACTTGCACAGAGCAACTTGCGCAGAGCAACTTGCGCAGAGCAAATTGCACAGAGCAGTTTGCGCAAAGCACCTTGCCCAGAGCAACTTGCGCAGAATGGTCACGGGGCTGTGATGCTTTCGGGCCAACCGTGGTCCCTCAGAAAGAGCCACACCCATGCGTCAAAGATTTCTTAAGCCATCGTCATAGTTTCCTAAGGCACCCTTGGAATGGTTGCCGAACTTCTTTCCAAAAGGGTTGATGACCATCCCTAAGTCAAAGGACAACAGGAGACTTTGACACGGGAATACCAGCGATGCAAAAGCAGCCCGGACAAAAAAGAGGCATGGCTGGTTGGTTGGCGGGGCCTGTCGGTTGGTTGCTTGTTTGTATGCTTGCTTTGCTTGCTTGGTTTGCTTCCTTGGTTTATTTTGGTTGCCTGCATGATTGCTTGCTTTGTTGTTGTTTTGTTGGTGGGTTGGATTGGGCTGGGTTGGCTTGGGCTTGACCCAGCTGTGCTGGGCTGGGCTGATTTGGGTTGGGTTTGTTTGGTTGGCTGGTGGCTGGCTGGCTGGCTGGCTGGCTGGTTGGCTGGTTGGCTGGCTGGTTGGCTGGTTGGCTGGCTGGCTGGCTGACTAACTGGCTGACTGGCTGGTTGGTTGGTTGGTTGGTGGCTGGCTGGCTGGCTGGTTGGCTGGCTGGCTGGTGGGCTGGTGGGCTGGTGGGCTGGTTGGTTGGTTGGCTGGCTGGCTGGCTGGCTGGCTGGCTGGCTGGCTGGCTGGCTGGCTGGCTGGCTGGCTGGCTGGCTGATTGCATAGATCAAAGCCACCAACAAGAAAGTTGAGAAGAAAGTACTGGATCCTGTAGACTGACATCCGTCTGAAGCGCATTTTAACAACAAAAACCACCGCGTCCCAAAGCAATGTTGAGAACCCTCAACATGAAACCAATTTCAAGGCCCAGACATAGTTATTACGGCTTCACAACCTCATTCAATTGTTTTCCTTTAAAATGGCGACGGGGGGTTTGGTTGCTTCAACAAAATGCCGCCCACCGCTGCCAGTTCTTTGCCTCTGGGGAGCTGTAGCTGGCAGTGCCCGCGGTCAGCGTCACCGACAGCGAGCTCCCCGCCGCGCAGGGTGTGGAACCAGTATTGATTTGCCCTGAGAGCCGTGTGCCCCAGTGACAAACCCACAGGGATTGAAAAGAAACTGCCCACGTCCAACCTTCGCCTTCCCTGCAAACAGAACCAAAACAATCTGCGCAAGGTGTAGACACCCCGCAAAAATCGACAGGCATATCGCAGAGTTCCCCACGTTTCCCAATTAAACGTCACCCTAAGGAAAGTCACCACCATAGACGACCAAAAAAAAAGACCTTCTACAAAAAGTGTACCTGCAAAACTGGAGGTCTGCTGGGGCCATCCCTGGATAAGCCAAGTTGATAAGCCAAGTTAAGCCAACTTCAGGCCCTTCTTATTTTTTGCGGCGGTTCAGGCAGTTCCGCCCTCGGTTCGCCCCCCGGTTCGCCGGGGTCCATGATATCACCCGATCGGCCGCGGTGCGCACGCTGAAGGTGAGCGTAGTGCCGCTGATGCTCGCGGTGCCATAGGCTTCGCAGGTCGCAGCCAGGCGGCGGCCGACATCGAAGTCGCTCTCGTCCGCCTCCGTGAAAACGACAGCAGATCAAAAGCCGTACCCCACAGCAAGAATCACAAGGGCCACGTGAGTATTGTTAGGACTGTCCTTCCTCATAAGCCTTGCTAATTGGGTGGAATCAGCACTCTCAAATGCATCTACCTAAAGCCTTCTAGAGAACGGTTTGGATGTGGTGAATTTGTGGATCCACCCCTCTGTAATATTAAAAGAGTACTACAAGAGTATGAATAAAATAATAATAATCTACAACAGGTGAAATGAAATCCACAAAAAGCGCATCCAGACCGCTTTGTAGAAACCTGGCACACCCCACACCATGGAAATCATCAAAAGGGCACGTACCTAACTTATTGGGCCTGTCCTTACTCATAAGCTTTATTCACCTTCGCTTAAATGGGACGGTATCAGCACATTCTCAAATAATCCACCTGAAGCAAGGCATCCCCAAGTAAAGAAACCTTAAAGGGAGGCAAAAAGGACCACTTTCCTCGCGTCTGGAAACAACACTCGCTGTCACTGTGTCCCATTTCCGCGTTGCCTTTCGTTTAGTTCTTGATCTTTTCCACAAACTCCATCCAAGGAACAGAAAGAACAGATTGTCAAGGAGTCTACTCAAAGCCATGTAAAGATCTGGACGCTGCTAGTTCTGCTTGGGACTGTACCTGAACCTTTATCCGGTTTCGTAGAGCCAAGGGTCCCTTCTATCTCCTCAACCTCACATAAACCAAAGGAATATCCTCATTTTGAGTATGATGCTGGAGAGCTAATGTTGACATCCCCCCCAAAAAAAGAGAGAAAAAGAAACGAAATATGTTGTGTCCCTGATGGCTTTGACATGGGCCCTCCCAAAAAGTATGCGGGGGGGGTGATCAAAAGGGCCTTCACATGGGCTGACCATTGTTTGGCAAACCACTAAAACGATGATCTTTCTCACTAAATGGGAAACGTTTCCCATGTGCCCCCTTCTATCCTTCCATTTGCTGAAGTCCACTGGAAACGAGATAAACAATTTCCAGTGATAGACTCCCTTTAAAACCACCAGGGCAAAACTAAACATATCTGCTTTTCAGCAACTGGAAGTACCCTCTTTCGATTGGTTTTCAAGGGAAACCGAAAAATTCGAAGAAAAAAAGAAGAAACAGCTCCTCCATTTGGCCATGGGTCAAAATCCCGTACCCCCAGTAAACATCCCAATCCCGACTAAAATAGGTCCTAAAATGGGTGGTGAATTCACCGACCAACCAAAATGGGATCCCAAAACGTTTTTGACAACCACAGCCAAATGCCTCGCCCTGGCAAATGGAAACAACACCCTGCAGCTTCTTTGGTTGAATTTGACCCATACCCAAGTGAGATTCCCCACGCTCCGTTTGGAGGAAAAAAGGAAACCCAAAAAATCAAAAGCTCCTCCACTTGGAGGGGGGGAAAAAAAGCAAGCTCCTCCATTTGGAGGAAAAAAGGTCGTCCCCTTGCCTCACCTCAACCCCTTCAGTGACTGCCTCCTCCAGGCGCCGAGCCCCGAAGCTCAAGGTGCCGGAGGTGGACGCCAGGCCGGAGGGCAAGGTGACCCTCCGCAGACTAGTGCTACTAGTATCATTCTTGGTACTACTCCTAGCACTACTTCCAGTACTAGCACTACTCCTAGAACAAGTACTACTAGTACCAGTACTACTAGTACGAGTACTAGTATGCAGTAATACTAGTGCTACTCCTGGTAGTTTTAAATGGATTTTTACTATTGAGCCAAAGCCCGAAGGAGCCGAAGGAGCCGAAGGAGCCGAAGGAGCCGAAGGAGCCGAAGGAGCCGAAGGAGCCGAAGGAGCCGAAGGAGCCGAAGGAGCCGAAGGAGCCGAAGGAGCCGAAGGACGGGCAAGGACCGAGTGCCACGGTTTCGTCGGCACGGAAACGCTCAGTGGAAGGGCTCACGGTGTTTTGCTTTTTTCATCAGAGGGTTGGCCCTGGAAGGGCACCGTGGGCTTTTCCACCCCCCCACCCCCCACCCAAAAAAGGCGGAAAGAAGAGAAGAAGAATGGCTGAGACGGATTCCCCCCCGGCAGGAAGTTGCTGGAAGAGGTTGCTCCTTTTGGGGAACCTCCTTATCCACGTGCATGGTTGGGTTCGACAAATTCATGATGACACGCCAATTTCAAAGGCTCCATGTTTTTTTCTTTGCTTGAAAAGGAAAGACGTTCCTTCGCTAGACAAGAATATCGCTCAGGCATGGGAAACACATGAAATTCAACTAACCCCCCTCGCAGCCCAGGAATCCACATCTACCCTGTGGGAATCGAGGACATCTGACCCTGTGGCGCATGACTCAATGGGCTCCGGAGGTATGGAGGTTGGGTATAAAACCGATTCCTATTTGCAGGAAAATGTCCGGCATTTGCTTTCTAAGCGCGCATCTGTGCTTAGAAAAACCCCGTACGGGCGCGCGCATTCTTAGAAGGAGAGCTAGCTCATTTAGTTCCAATACTGAGGAAGTTCTTGTTAAACTGCCTTTGATGATGCCTTACAGCTTCTATTAGTGTACATAAATACCTCGACGTTCCCTTCACAATGATACCTCCCTTAGTGGGCGGACCACGTTGGTCCCTGCGAGCACCCTGAGAATAGCCTTGGGTTTTGCTGGGAATCTGACCTCAGGCCAAAATGATTCTGAAAATTGTTGAGAATAGGAAGAAGTGTCACCATCCCCCCTCTGCCAAATCGAAAGCCCCAACCACCCCTGTTGTTCAGCAAACATATTCTAGGTCACATGGCTGTGGGTGAAAAATAGGTACCCAACATGGAACCCTGGTGAATTGGACCAAGGACTTACACCTGCGGTCCATATCCCGGTGGATTAATTTTGACCCACGCCATCGTGCCCCCGTATTGAGGATGAACGTGCCCGGCCTGCGCCTTTCATGGGCCACACCGTGCAAAATAGCAAACCGAGGAATCCGAACGAAGCACCGTGTCAAGTCTACCTTAGTCCCAAAATGGATCCTGGTAATGGCCCCCGGATTTAGCAAGCTGGCGGAAGAATACGGGGGGGTGCTTCCTCCAGTGAAGGATCCCCTCCGAAATGGGACCCTAGTGACCAACCAGGGGTGCGGCTTTCCATTAGAGAGTATATGGGTATGTCAAAAACATGGGTGTTCCTGAAAACTGATTGGCTTCCTTTCCTTTGCCCCTTCAACCAGCCCCAAAAAGCACCCGCAAAACTCAAACAGGCAGAGAGAATGGCCGGAGACCGAGCCCTGAGCCCCGCGCGTGGCCAAGTTGGTGTTGTCGCTCACCGTGGTGAAGCCCACGGAAAGCGACGCCGGGACCTCCCCGGGGCTGGCCGCGGTGCCGTTGGAGTCCAGTACCCCGATGGCCACGTTGCGCAGCAGCGCCCCCTGCGCGGAGGAGACGAAGACCGGCAGGAGCCACCGGAGCATCGCGGACGGAGCGCGCTTGAGCGCTGAGAGACGGAGCTGAGGCGATTGGGACTTGAGCCAGGGGAGAAAAGGCCGACATGTGGATTTACAGGCGGGACGGGGCCTGGATGGCGGCGTGCAAAACATCTGGCACAAGGGTGGGCGGTTTTCAGGCGGTCTATCGTTGGTTCATGATTGGGAAACCACCAGGTCTGCATGTTGCATTACCCCCTAACAGCCTTGAACCCCCTACCCCCACGCCGGTCGGTTGGGTCTCCAAGGTGGCACCACGTCGCTTCCAGAAGCTGGAATTCGAGATCTGTCACATAGCCTTCGTTGCCCGGCACATGCCGGCAACACTTCACGGAGGGTCCATAGAACAACGTCCACTAGAATTCACAGTATGGATTTCAATTTGCATCATGGATGGTGTCCATCCCCAACCACCAGAGGAACCTTGGGTGTTCGGTCGCAATTGCGAGGTTGCCTTGGGCATCACATAATTACCGGGCACCCAACTCATTTTCCGTTTGGTCAGAAACCCAAACGCTGAGATTCGTCGCACGAGTCGGTCCGATCTGGGGCTACGGGCCATACATCGTGGGAGGCCTCGGAACCGGGAGCTGCCATCCTGCGAGGCAAAAGCGGCGGTTTGAGGGGTCCCCGGTCCCCGCATTTTGAGACACACACATCTGAGGTGGGAAAATGGATGTCGACCCCCCAAAGTGGTGATGTTCTGTTTGGCTTCCTGTGAACCAACCTGAAGAAGCGTACCCAAAACAAACGCGCACACACACAGACACACACAGACACACACAGACACACACAGACACACAGACACACACACACACACACACACACACACACACACACACACACACACACACACACACACACACACACACACACACACACACGCACGCACGCACGCACGCACGCACGCACGCACGCACGCACGCACGCACGCACGCACGCACGCACGCACGCACGCACGCACGCACGCACGCACACACACACACACGCACGCACGCACGCACGCACGCACGCACGCACGCACGCACGCCACACACACGCACACACACACACACACACACACACACACACACACACGCACCCACACGCACGCACACACACCCACACCCACGCACGCACGCACGCACGCACGCACGCACCCACCCACCCACCCACACACACACACACACACACACGCAACTTGGGGTCAGGATCTTTCACGGCATGAATAGCTACCCAAAGGCCCCCAAGAGAAACTGAGAGGGGTCATTCATGTTGACCCCCATGTTGAACCAACCTATAAAAAAGAACAGTGCCGGTTGGGTTTTGGGGATTGTTCCGACCTGGTGCATTCCCTACAGCAAGGTATGCACTGAGAGGCTGTCAAAGCCAGGCCATTCTGCCTTCATCCGATGATGTTGAAAATCATTTTGAAAGCAAATAAGAAAACCTGAAGCAGCCAATTGCGCTTGGAAGGCGATGGCCCTCTTGGGACTGACTTGGGACTAGTGAAGCTCCAAATCAACGAGTCGTGAAGATTGGGCTAGAGTTGCAAAACATGGTGACCGTCACTAGAAGCAAGCATTAAAGTTCAAGTTCTGCAGGGATAAGAGAAGGGCCTCTTGAGTGGAAGACGAATCTCCACCTCTGTTCATCACTTTCTATATTTGAGATGCCACCGTCCAAATGGCACGTGGCTGTGGGGCAAAATTAAACCACTAGGGGAGCGCAGGTTGTAGTCATGTGTTTCCATTTACTAAGGTTCCATTTTGGGTACCGTGTTTTGACCCACAGCCACACAATGGGTCCCTTGCCGGGCGGATGTAACATCGGAATAAAAATCGGCCGTGAATGTCCGAGTCTCCTCCTGGCGCTTGTTCGTGATGTACTCGTAGGTCGTCAAATTCTGATGCCTCGAATGTCAGTGGAGACTCCTCGAGAAGAGCCTTCTTCGGATTGCTTGAGTCCTACTTAGTGTCTGCACTGTATAGAGAGAGTCTACACAAACAATATGACGTCGTAAGTAGGACTAGGTCACAAGCAGGTAAGATTTGCGCAGGCCCAAAGCACAGCACCTACCCAAGTATATGCTTTGCATGGTTTAAACAACCATCTCTTCCACTCGTCAAAAACATATTCTGCCGACGAGATCTGATCAAGGCAAACGTCAGGGCGAGGGATCCAAGGAATCACTCCATTGTTCTACCTACTGCAAGATAGACGTTCAGAGCACATGCGATGAGCAAAAAAGCAGATTTCATATTGAGTTGTGTTAATCAAAGCGTTCGAATAAGCAGTCTAACGCCTTCAGCGCTGCTGATATGTTAAACGATGTGTCTCGCTGGTTGACTGTCAACCACCAAAACCTGTGGCATCGGCCCACCAGCACCTGCTTAAAAAAGCAGCTCGGTCAACCAAAAAAAGGATCTTGTTCATTCGATGACGATTAAAGCATGTAGACGGATGTCGGATTTCTGTGAGTTTTCAAAAAACAACAGGACTGGCGTAATCCAAGTTGAAGAGGTTCATGGACTCAACACGAACGGCTTAAGCAGCTGTCACTAGCTGTCGATTCAACTATTTGGTGACACTGCTTCAAAGAAACGTGTTTGTCTTGCTGTTGAAAGCAGCAACTGTCTGGTGTGGGAGTTTCTTTGATCCATGCACCCACATGTCTACGATGTTCCATTGATGTTAACCCATTAACAAACCAATGGATGAAACAGGTCGATAAAGGCAGTTTCAAGCCCTATACATGTTCTGCCTGTGTGTTCCCACTTCAATGTGCAGCAGATTCCATTGCTCCATTGAATTTGGATGTGCATAAATTGAACATGTAAACGTACACACATACACATACATCCATGCACACACATACATATACACATATTATATCTATATATGGTTAAAATGTATATGAACATATGCATTCATGCTGGGTGAGCTCATGGGGCGCAGAAACGCTTCAGGTTGAACCTTAGCCAATATACTATGTGGTTGAGCATAGTACTGGAAAACGGCATATGACACATGTTGTATGTTGCAAATACAATCAAGACCCCTGCGAGCAACAGAACGGAGTTGCCAACTCTGTCCTACCTGCACTTGTAGTTGTACTTTTCATGATCTGCAATTGGATTGACTTGGTTC